TGATTTGAAGTTTTAAGCTGTTTGAAATAGCCAAGAATTGTCCAGTTAAAAGAATCTTGGCTTTCCGCTTCGGATCGCTTGAAAAATTTTTCGTTATCTACAGGGTGGCCCATTTTAAGTGATCCACTTAGATATCTAGATTGGAGTGAGTTTTATCGAAAAAAGTTTCAGACAAAAGTTACTCAACTTTGAGGGGGCCATGTTTCTATGACCTTGAATTTGACCTTGGAGGTCATGTTCAAGGTCATTTCAAGGTCAACTTTGTTTTTTTAAATAGGAACCCCCATTTTTGACCCCGGATTCGGAAAGAGCGGGAAATTTTACGTCCAAAACGGTATTTTTAAATTTTTTTTCATGGCCTTGAGAAGGTCGATTTAAGGTCAAATGCTTGAAAAACTGCATAAAAGCGTTTTTTTAATTTTTAAGATATCGAAAAATGACCTCTACAAAATTTGTTCAGAACAGAGTGGGCCACCCAATGCACCAAAAACCTTTGACCTTTAACCTCATTTTGAAGGTCATTTCAAGGTCGAAGTGTTTTTTGTAATGGAAATCCCTCTTTTTAACCCCGGATACGCACATAGCGCGAAATCCGACGTTTGGATAAGGTATTGTGTTGAGTTTCGCGCTATGTGCGTATCCGGGGTTAAAAAGAGGGATTTCCATTACAAAAAACACTTCGACCTTGAAATGACCTTCAAAATGAGGTTAAAGATCAAAGGTTTTTGGTGCATTGGGTGGCCCACTCTATTCTGAACAAATTTTGTAGAGGTCATTTTTCGATATCTTAAAAATTAAAAAACCGCTTTTAGGCAGTTTTTCAAGCATTTGACCTTAAATCGACCTTCTCTAGGCCATGAAAAAAAATTTTAAAATACGGTTTTGGACGTAAAATTTCCCGCTCTTTCCGAATCCGGGGTCAAAAATGGGGGTTCCTATTTAAAAAAACAAAGTTGACCTTGAAATGACCTTGAAAATGACCTCCAAGGTCAAATTCAAAGTCATAGAAACATGGCCCCCTCAAAGTTGAGTAACTTTTGTCTGAAACTTTTTTCGATAAAACTCACTCCAATCTAGATATCTGAGTGGATCACTTAAAATGGGCCACCCTGTATATTAATCTTTTAACAACAAGTCGAAAATTTTAACAACTTTTGACTTTTTTATCAATTAACGAATTTTCATATGGTTTTTTTTAGATTGAAGTTCTTCTGACCATCTACCAATATACATTGTTAAACTCTAGAAAAGTCTCATAATACGCGGTTAATTTGATTTTGTAACTAAGCAATATTTTAGAAAAAATTCCCTGAGTCGTAAATTAAATTTTCTTTTTGTTTAAATCGCAGATTTCCATTATAAAATCTAACAAATACCGATGAAAAAATCGGCGTCACTTTGCACAACAATTCGGACTGTGGATAAAACGAAACAGTTAATTTGTTGTTAACCGTCTGTATAGATTGCAATGAACATTTGAGCTTGCGGCTTCAAAGCTCATAATCTTTACGTAATAAGAACTACATTGAGGTACATGGAAAATCTCTATGATCCAATATTTAACGGTAATGATTAACTAAACAATTGGCCTTTTTGTGTTAATAACTTTTTATGTAATTAACATGTATTAACGTGCGACACATGCTTTTGTAGGTCTTGCTGAGACGAACAAAAAAACCATTAGGCCAATTCCATCTCAGATCATGCAGAGCTCCCCACGCACCTGTCACCAAGCTACTCCAAAGTATTATTTTATTGTTTTAGGTCAAAAATAAGAGGACCCGTATTTTTTCTTTTTTCTCTCAGATGCATAGTTCCGTCAATAATGCAATCGGAAAATGCACTGCTGAAAAGGGAAAATTGAGAAAATTTTTCCAATTAAATTTGGTTTCCTCAATATATTTTTTATTTTTCGATACAATTAAATAATTTTTATGTCATCTATAGTAGAAACGAAGTTCTTCAAGTCTAATTTATCAAAAATATGAATGTATGCATTTTTCGAATGCATGTTTTCGAAAAAGTGCATCTTGGAGAAAAAATTGTGTATCTCAAAAAGGCCATAATTTTTTGCGCTCAAATTTTTTTTATATATTCTTAGTACCAATACCTTCAAATCCATTCGATCAAAATTTGCTGTTTTTTCGTTATATCGCTTAAAAAAATAAAAAAAAAAAGTTTTACATTTTCAAGTCAAACGCGATAAATACATAGGTACAGCGAATGGAAATCAAAGCTGAGAAAGAAAGGGTGACGTTAAATTATCAACATTTGCTGATGCATATAGATTTTGCTGAGAGCTGGTCTGTAATTTTGAAAAATCCAGTTCAAGGGAATCATTGGGTGAATAAACAGATTTCAATTTTCACTGCTGTTTGCTACATAGGCGGAATTACAAAGAGTTATACTGTAATTAGTGAAGACTTAAAACATGATTATTCTCATGCATTGGCAGCAATACAAATAATTCTTGAACATATAACTAGATACACACAAGAAACGTATGGAAATTCGATTGATTCTATAACTTTAGTATCTGATGCCGCTGCAAGTCATTTCAAAAATAGATTCCAGTTAAATGAATTTTTAAATGCAAGTATGAGTAAAAAATGGATATTCTCTGCTACTGGTCATGGAAAGGGTGCTGTAGATGGTATAGGTGGTTTGGTAAAGCATTATGCAACAGTGCATAATTTACGCAGTACTGAATCTGATGCTATTCAAACTGCTAAAAGTTTTGTTGAAAATGTATCAAAATACACAACTTCTATAGAGCTGATTTTGATGGAAACTGCAGAGATAAACAATTTTCGTAGTAGTCAAATGGAGCAAAGACACAAATGCCAGAAATATCAGGGTATTCAACGTTGCCACATGTGGAAATCTGTTGTCTCGGAAGGGAGGAGCGAATGTTTTATAGCTCGAACGGCTGCGCATCCATGGATTGAAGTGAAAAAAGATGAAAAAAAAAAGAAAAGTACTCATAAGAAGAAAAACGAAAATGTAAACAAGGGCAAGAAAGTGAAAGTTGTATCTAAAAAAGTGAAGAAAGTTGTAAAAGTAATCAACTCAAACAGAAAAAAATGATCGTGTAATTTTACATTTCTTGCAGACATGATTGAATAAAAGTGAGCTTTTTCTTTGAGTTACATGTTATTGTAGTTCAGTTATTAACCTACATAGTCGCTAACATGAATTCCTGAATGTATTTATCGCGTTTGACTTGAAAATGTAAAACTTTTTTTTTTTATTTTTTTAAGCGATATAACGAAAAAACAGCAAATTTTGATCGAATGGATTTGAAGGTATTGGTACTAAGAATATATAAAAAAAATTTGAGCGCAAAAAATTATGGCCTTTTTGAGATACACAATTTTTTCTCCAAGATGCACTTTTTCGAAAACATGCATTCGAAAAATGCATACATTCATATTTTTGATAAATTAGACTTGAAGAACTTCGTTTCTACTATAGATGACATAAAAATTATTTAATTGTATCGAAAAATAAAAAAAATATTGAGGAAACCAAATTTAATTGGAAAAATTTTCTCAATTTTCCCTTTTCAGCAGTGCATTTTCCGATTGCATTATTGACGGAACTATGCATCTGAGAGAAAAAAGAAAAAATACGGGTCCTCTTATTTTTGACCTAGAACAATAAAAAAATACTTTGGAGTAGCTTGGTGACAGGTGTGTGGGGAGCTCTGCATGATCTGAGATGGAATTGGCCATTAGACATTTTTCGATTCAACTGCTAGTAATAAAAAATTATTACACGAAAACATGAAAATAGATGAAATTTTTTTTCAAAGAGCTGGTTAACAATTTTCTGCACCGATTTCAGACTTTGGATGAAGATATGTTATTACTCTCATTTTCAACTATCCACGGTAAAAATTTCGTGCTGTTCCGAATAAAGTACCCGACATTTGCTCTATTGCCTGGACTATATTAAACAAACGATATCGACAACAAACACAATCATCATGAACACATCACAGATTAATTTAGAAGCTGGAACTACAAATACAGTTACATTCGTTAGATTGGGATTAGGCTATAATTTTTAAATCTTATATTGCAATGACACAACTACATTACACGAGTACTTGTGAATCAAATAGCAAGAACCAATAATTAAATCGATGAAAAGAAAATGGTTGCTTCAGCTGATTCTTTATGCGGTAATGCAAAAGATGTATTGAGTAGTCCATGCGCATAGTACTTTGGCGAGCCTTTTGGCCACGGTGTTATTCCTCTACTTTGATACCCTATTTTTATGTAATTAGATTGTGTTGTTTATGGTCCGCTGCCTCGCACACGGACAAGCACGCGACAACTTTTTTTATGTGTAATGGACAAACGATTTTGTATGTAATTTGTGGTCTACATGTTGCGAAATAAAGTATAATATTTTGTAAAAGGGAAGTCCTACATTTATATTACCCATTTTCTCTCTCCTCATAGCAGCTGTACCTTTTAAATGGCATGAAGCCCGCTGCCGTTGACAGAGAAGGAGCGAAGGTATCTCCCGATGTCCCTGTAAAATACTTAGTTCATTTTTGCTTTGGTTCGCGGAAACATACACGTTTCCGATTAATAGGGGCGAATATATAACAATATTTATGTAAATGCATCATAATTCTAAGACGAGACTGATAAGCCTGTAAACATGTATACTTTAGTACAAAAAACTATTTAACATCCTTTTCTAAAACTAAATTTTCAAGAATTGAATTTCTGCAGCCATGATTGTAATACGATCACAGAAGATACGTAGATAATAGGGAATTACGAGATTACTCCTACCATTTTTACAGTAGATTTTTCCTTAGTATAGAGACTATTTTTAGAAACGATGTTAGGAGCTGTAGTGTATTTCGAAAAATTACAGGTTGCTTATACGAGCATAAGAAATGTAAATAAAATGTACATATTATTTTTTATGTTCGAGAACCTCACGCTATTTGATGTGATTATTTAGTGAAATAATATTACCTGACAATCTTTGTTTTCCGATGATTTCTGTTCACATTTTGAATCTGAGAAATTAGGGGAGCAATCTGGTAAAACGTTATTTTCATTTTTTATGCTTAAAATTCTATAAATGTTAGCACAATTTTCATGCTCACTAAGTTCTGCCGGATTGAATTTTCTTTTTTTCGGCAACTTTTTAGCACATACAATCGGATCAGAAGCATTTTTTGGAGCAATGGGAGTTGTTAAAATGTTTTCCATTCCAGTGCAGATATATCTCTTTTCAAGCTCATGATAATGTTTCATATCTTTCTTCAATGCACACTGATCCGTAACTGAACAATTACTTGTATCAACTTTTACATCGCCATCCAGCATGTTTTATATAATTACTGAGCTATAAAAATGTTAAATTTTAATAGATAAATATATTTATAAAATAATCAATATTTATAGTATTAGGACGAGCACTCTTTGTTTGTATACAATTTATGTACGATACAAAGTTCGTCTTTTATTTAAAAAGTTTTATACACCCGGAACCAAACCGCTTTGCTAATATAAAATATATAGTACTAGAATTACAATATATACAAACAGGTAATGGTAATATACATAAGTATTATATGGGCGATATTTATATAAATTTCTATATTGAAATAACAATGTAGGACGTAATTCATAGTTGCAGAAAAAAGGACATCATAATATGTAACCAAAAATATAAATTAATGAAAAATATAGGTACAACAGATGCTGCACAAAAATTAACTAATAATATTACTTATATCACTGAATAACAAAATTGTAGGTATATAATAACTCATGGGTGTGAATATAATATATTTATGTATTTCGAGTCAGAAAATACAAAAATAAACTCAATTATTGTTTTAGACAGTACAGTAACACTATACTTTGCTTTTTATTGTTAGTCTTTACAAGTTAAAAAACTTGGAAATCATTAATGACTTGAATTTCTGCAAGTTAAAATATATCCAAATCATTTTACGCTTTTTTGTGGTCAAACACTGAAAGCAGTCGAAACTATAGCTATCTGTTATATAATGATAGGGTGATAACAGTATTATTTCATTGAAATTAGGTTAATTGTAAAATTAAACAGTATGACGAAGGAGATATTTATATAATTCTCCAAGTTTCAACTATTTACATGGCTAACCGCCGCCTCAATGTTGCGCATTATTACCGCTGACATTGATTGCCGGCTGAAAGCGCGAAAATTATGATTATGCTATACACAGTGTTACAATTAGAGCATTAAGTAACATTAATTATCATGATTAGATATTTTCTTGAAAGGTCGTTTAAATATCGATAACGGCCAGAGACTTTTGCGTCGTAATCACTCGAACACTAGTGAAATGGAGAAACCTCATCCGGAAACTTAACCCTTAGCCGACACACTTCTGGCGCCAATCATAGCTGACACACTGGGACGTTTTGGACCCCAGCCACGTAAACGTCTATTCTAACAAGGGAACCACCCCAACCCGACCTCACCGATTTGAATGATTTTGGGATATGTTGTAGTACTTGAAAAAAAATTAGATACGTGTTTTTTTTATCGGCTCATAAGGGCTTTTAAAGGATGAAATCCACCCTGAAAATCAAACCCTAAAATCGGTTTTTTTAATATTTCTCAGCATCAAATGAATATTTTTCAGTAAACTCAACGTTAAAAAATTTCTTATAAAAAGGCGCTTATAAGGACATAACATTTATACCGAAGGGCTGCAACCCCCTTTTTAATAGGGGTAAATACAATATTTTTGTACTGTTTTACGATATGTAATATAGTAAATCATCTCGAGAGATTTAAAAATTGCACTGATAATGAAAAAATACCAAAATTAAATTGACGTGTTTCCGGATTGAAAAAAATTATATTTAAGGGATGTTTCATCCCCTAGAAACCACCCCCGTCAAACTATGAGCAGGATAATTCACCTAACTCTGGGTCTCTCATAAACCACCCTTACCGAACCACATGCAGGCTAACCCACCTAATCCTGGGAAAAGCAACTTTAGTCGTTTGTTATTTCTTGAAATAATTGAATTTTACACCATAAGCGAGTTATCCCAGCTGAATCACATACCTTTTATTCACCAACCCCTAACCTATCTAACCCCCCCACCCTTATAAACTACCCTTGTCGAACCACATGCGGGCTAACCTTATATAAATAGCGAAAAATAAATGTATTTCTTGAATAATATTCATGTTGCATAACAATATGTCCCAAGTATTACAAATTTTATGTAATAATTATTATTTTCTTTTCATTATAAATACAAAAAAGATAAAAATAATTAATAACGGCTTATAAATATAAAATTTGAGACTAAAATAAATTATAAATAATTATTAACTATTTTGTTTTTTCGAAATTAATAATAAGTTATAGTATCAGTTTTTAAAAAATATTATTTGCATTGTATTACATATAGCTGTGTATAAAAGAGTAATAATAATAGTTATTATTTTTTAAACGTAAAGTAAATTCATAATAAAGAAAATGAGTTTAATGATATTGATATGATTGGTGAAGAGATTTTCATGAAGATTATAAAGATACTGATGCTAAAATGATCGAAGATGAAGTTCAACATCACTTTTCTGATCCTGATTTTGCAGCAACAAATCAGTGCACAAATGATGATCAAGAAATCACATTTGATTATAAACAAAGAGCCGTACAATTTTGGAGGAGCGGAAAAAACAAAAACTTAAAACTGGATACTGTACAATATAGATTCAAAAAAGTTTCATCTATAAGTCAACTTAAACGTTGGGCGAAAACAATTAATAAAAATGGAACTTACCGAGAAAAAATTGCGCAAATTTGCCAATAGACGTTTAATAATTTAAAAGCCGCTATTGCAGCTGGTACGATAGTGCATGATCGAGATATACGGAAATGGGCATTGCAAGCTCAAAAAATTGTTGGCCATGAAGATATAAGATTTAAGGCTTCTCAAAATTGGTTACTAACATTTAAAAAAGCTCATAGAATAGTATCTAGAAAAATAAATAAATTTATCACCAAAAAAACATTAGAAAGTAAAGGAGAACTACAAACTAATGCTGATGCTTTTGTAACTGATGCTAAATGATGTATACCAGAAATCGGCACTGCAAACTTTTATAATTCAGATCAGAGTGGTTTCCAATTAGTAATGCACTCGGGAAGTACATTAACAATTGAAGGAGAAAAGCAGGTACAATGTCTGGTTCAGTCGGTTTGATCGACAACGCACAGTTATACAATTCAGCTAACTATATTAGCAACCGGGAAACGTTTATCACTACTTTTTATAGTATTAAAAGAAAAAAGTGGTCAATTCGGTCCCATAGTGGAATCTTCATTATTTAGATCAGAAAATGTGCATGTGGAAGCATATAAATCTGGAAAATTAACGACAAGTATATTTTTGTTTATTATAATGCAATGACATAAAAAAATTTTGATATTTTTTTATTTTAGATCATTTTAAAATGTGGTTGAAAGAAGTTTTTTACCCAAATGTTGGGCCTCACTCTGTACTTTTACTAGACTCTTGGAATGGACATTGCGATAAAACTGTAAGGGAAACGATGCCGACAAACAAAATTGTTAATATAAAAAAAATTACCACAGGAACGACAGGAAACATTCAACCACTCGATGTTTATGGATTTCGTATCTGAAAAAACTTCGTTCGACGTTTATCAGATCAAGTAATTTTGATGGACTATGAAATAAATTTAAATTTATGAAATAACATCATAAAAATGCAGTTTCTTGTCTATAACCAGCTTTCTACACCAAGATATACAAATATTTTTAAATACGCTTGGTATAAAAGCGGCTACATTGCTGAAAAACCAGCTAAAACAGATAACTGTTGATTTTAGTTTTGGAAATTCTTGCAATATACATTGCGAAGTAGAAGCATGTAAAAATGTTGCTATAATACGGTGTGGTTGGTGTAAAAGATCATTATGTTTCAAACACTTTTTCGATGATTATCATTTCTGTAAGGAATTCGTGGAATGATACATTTTAATTTACCAATATATAAAAAAAAGAAAAGGATGAAAATTATTATGAAAAATCAAAATATATGTAGTATCGCGTACGATGGCTCTTCCGTAAATATATTTATGTATCTACATATGAATATAAATATATATGTATAGATCTATAAATGATAATTAGACCTCGTGTTATTCTCGTGTTTATTTTTAAAAGATATTTCTAGCCATTTTGGTACTATTAAAATAAAATGTATTAAACATATTTTTATTTGTTATAAATTATGTTAGAGCTACAGATATGTTTTATCAAAAAAAATGGGATAACCCACGTACGGTGTAAAAATCAATTATTTTAAGAAAAAACAACTGATAAACTCAATTTTCCCGAAATTAGGTCTATTAGCCTACATTTGGTTGGGTAAGGGTGGTTTATGGGAGTTTGGTGGGTTAGAGGCAGGTTGGTTAGTTGAGATAGCTCGCTCAGGCGTAGGATTAAATTATTTCAGGAAATAACAAACAACTTAACTCGTGTTTCCCAGGGTTAGGAGGTTTAGCCTGCTTGTGTTTCAATAAGGGTGGTTTATAAGGGTGGGGGTTAGATAGGTTAGGAGTAGGTGGATAAGAGGTATGTTATACAGCTGGGATAACTCACTTATGGTGTAAAATTCAATTATTTCAAGAAATAACAAACGACTAAAGTTGCTTTTCACAGGATTAGGTGGGTTAGCCTGCATGTGGGTCGGTAAGAGTGGTTTATGGGGCTTTGGTGGGTTAGAGGCAGGTTGGTTAGTTGAGGTAGCTCGCTCATGCATAGGATTAAATTATTTCAAGAAATAACAAACGACTAAACTTGTTTATCCCAGGGTTAGGAGGTTTAGCCTGCTTGTGTTTCAATAAGGGTGGTTCATAAGGGTGGGGGTTAGATAGGTTAGGAGTAGGTGGATAAGAGGTATGTTATACAGCTGGGATAACTCACTTATGGTGTAAAATTCAATTATTTCAAGAAATAACAAACGACTAAAGTTGCTTTTCACAGGATTAGGTGGGTTAGCCTGCATGTGGGTCGGTAAGAGTGGTTTATGGGGCTTTGGTGGGTTAGAGGCAGGTTGGTTAGTTGAGATAGCTCGCTCAGGCGTAGGATTAAATTATTTCAGGAAATAACAAACAACTTAACTCGTGTTTCCCAGGGTTAGGAGGTTTAGCCTGCTTGTGTTTCAATAAGGGTGGTTTATAAGGGTGGGGGTTAGATAGGTTAGGAGTAGGTGGATAAGAGGTATGTTATACAGCTGGGATAACTCACTTATGGTGTAAAATTCAATTATTTCAAGAAATAACAAACGACTAAAGTTGCTTTT